TAGTAAGATTACATTGTTTTATTTATGAAATGTAAGTAACAAATGTACCGACATTTTTAACTACTTATTTCATATTTTGATGACAAAACTAAAACTATATGATTGCTTGTTTCTTTTTGTTTTGTTTTAGTTTTTTTGAGGCAGGGTTTCTCTGTGGTGCCCTGGCTGTCCTGGAACTCTCTCCACAGACCAGACTGGCTTTGAACTCATAGAGATCAGCTTGCCTCTGCCCCCTGAGGCTGGAATTAAAGGCATGTGCCATCATGCTCAGCTGCTTATCTCTTATTCTGCACACTGAATTTAAAGACAAAATAGAACAAAGCAGTAACAACGAGCTGCTGGGGGCTGGAGAGATGGTGGCTCAGTGGTTAAGAACACTAATTTCTGTCTTTGCAGACCTGGGTTTGCTTTCTAGTGGCTATATAGGGCAGCTCACAGTCACCTAAAACGACAGTTCCAGGGGAATCTGGTGGCGTTTTTCTTACCTCTGTGGGAAAGTGCTCACACATGCTGCACACAAACTCACACAAGTGTACACGTATACACATAAAAATAAATAAACAAGTGCATAAATATTTCTAAAGCTTGTAAGTTTTTTGAAATATCGTCTAAAGAAACTCAATGTCTTTTTTAAAGCACTGTTGAACAACAGCTTTTTTTCTCAATTTGAATTTATGATACAATTGTAATGGTTTAGATAAAATGCTGAGATGCAGTTCCCCAAAAGGTGCAGCCAGGACCCACCACCCGAGGCCTCTGTGGGTCCCAGGAGGGTGGGAGGTGGCGGGTAAGAGACCTGGGCAGGTTGGTGGGGGAGCTGGTCCCACCAGGAGCGGCAGATGAGAGACAGAGACAGATAGGCTCACCATACAGAGGGTTTGGGTATGGTTTATTAAGTGGGTTATGAAAGGGAAGGGGAAAGGAGAGAGAGAGAGAGAGAGAGAGAGAGAGAGAGAGAGAGAGAGAGAGAGCAAGTGATGGTGCAGGTTGGAAGGAAAGAAGGAAGATCTGCTAGCCTGGTTGGAAGAGGGGAAGTGGGTGAGGCTTGTCTCTTAAAGGGACAGGATAGACCATTACAACAGTTAACAATATTTCCCTCCTTTTCTTTCCCTCCTCCAAACCCTCCTGTAAACCCATTCTCACTCTCCTTCAAATCTGTGGTAGGATTCTACACTGAAATGGTTTTGTGATTCTCTTTACATGTGTTATTTTAGGGAGGAGTGTGTAACCTAGGAAGTCTTTTATGAATTAATTGTGGCTAAATACCTTTACAAATTTGCATGTTCAGAATGTCAGAATGTTGATCTTTGGATTATAATAATTGGATATAAATGGAATGCCCGAAGAGGTGAACCAGTATGCTTTCAATATGAACCCTTTCATTAAATGGAATTACTAAACCTTCTGAGGAGTGTGGTGATATGTTAGGTGGAGGTCAGCACCAACAAAACATAATAACTCTGAACCAAGGTCCCCAGGCTGGTGGCATGCACCGTGCCTTTGTGCTGTGTTTAACGATGGGACTAACACTTCTAATCAGCTTAATGGATTATACCCAGAGCTCCATCATCCTTATAAACAGATTATAACTAGAACCAAATCATTTAGAAACTTTAGTTAAAAGGGAAGGTTTGAGATAACGAGACTTAGACAAGATCTGGGATTTTTAAGTTGATGGTACAGTGAACTGTGACCCTTGACGACCTCTTAGGTACTAAATACCTTTTCCAACTAGGAGAAGGACTGTGAGCCATGAGGGCCGGAAGGTGGACTGCAGCAGCTTTGCCTCCCATGGCAGTTGCCACCTGGGGTCATTGCCCATTATGACAGGAGAGCTTTACTCATGTGAGCAAAGCCGACTTCAGTGTCGTAAGACAATCTGAGATTGCCTGGATGGGCCAGTATAATCATGTGAACCCCTAAAAGCAGAGGTAGAGGACAGGAGAAGTCGGGGAGATTCAGTCTATGAGGATTTGATGAGCTGGTTTGGACTGTGGCAGGGATCGATTCAGACAGCGAATGGGTACTCCATTAGTGCGAACCAGCGCTCTTCTCTGGCCACAGGAGAGCTTCAGTTCCGCAGCCTCCGGATGTGGATTCTGCCAACAATCTGAATTACCAGGACGTGTTTTCTCTCAATGAGGGTGTCATGGTATACGTCTCAAACTTTCAGGAGGGGCTGCAGGGGAGCCCACTCCAGAATTCTGACTAAGAAAATTATAAGCAAATCGATAAATGGTGTTTGAATATTCCAAATAGGTCATGATTTCTTATGGTAGGGGCAGGAAACTGATAAAGTCACATTGCTGCCAGGAAACAGAATAATGGAGTAAGAAGACAGTGAGTGGGTCTGACTGTCTCACCCCCAGTCCTTGTGAAGGAGGAGAATGGATAACCCGGGAATTCAAACAATTGGTCACAGATCCTTCTGGTAGCGGTGCCAACACCGTTAGTCTTTCATGTTTACCTTGAATCACCTAGCAGACATGACTTCCTGAAGGAATGAGCTCTTGAACTTTCTCATTGGCCTCTCCCCAAGTTTTTATTCTGCCTTTCTTCCTCGAGGCAGTGTGGTAGAATGGAGTGTCCACGCTCTTGGCTCTTCTTAAAGGTACACCAACTTTGTATGACGCACTTAAGCACACTCGGCCATACAGCCCTTCCTTCTCACAGCAATGGAAATGATGTTGGGCATAGCTGTTTGCATCTGCGGGCCATCCTCTGCCTGTTTGCTTCCTCCATGGCTTGGTCCTGGTGGGAGATGGCCCAGTTCTGGCAGTAGGTGGCCCAGTTCCGGCAGTAGGCTGAGCTTCCTCTGAGGTCTAGCTGACCTGTCTTTCTGAGTCTTGTTTTTTGCTTACACAAAAGATGCAAAAGGGGAAATGAAGCTAGGAATGTGGCTTAGAGGAAGAGTGCTCACCCAATAGCCTTTCAGAAGTGCATTGTCCTGGGACTAACAGGATTCCCCTTAAATCCCTAAGGCCAAGGCATATGAGTGCCTGCCCATCCCTTCCTTTATGTCTTTCTGAAAGCTCTCTGAACGTTAGGTGTCTCGATGGATTTGTTTTTAAAGTTTATTGCTCCCAGCTAAATTGCATTGGATGTGACCATTTTCATCAAAGGTGTGAGTTAAGTCACTAAAAGCTCAGTTTATTTCTCCATTTTATCCCGTTTTGGTGGTCTTATGGGAAATTGTCTTTGGAGAAAATGAATTTTCTTTTCAGTTTTATTAAAAAAAAATCAAGTCTCCTAGAAAAACCACATAGAGTTGTGACTTTTTCCAAGCCATAAGTTATAAAGCACATAAATGCTGGTCTAGGGTTCGCTTAATAGCTGTGGGCATCTGTGTTGAGCAAGTTCTACACCAGAGCTGTGGCTGGATGACATTTCTATTGTTTTGTAACTTGTTAGATAGCTGGACTAGAATTTTTTTTAAAAAAAATTAGAGTTCATATACTCAAGACACAGTACAAAAAATGATTCTTATTTACCTCTGGTTTTATAAAACAAGAAAGCTGTTGTAACTGAAAATGAAACGGGAGCCTGGCAAGTTGATTCATAACAAGTCAGAAGCACAGAGAGGGAGAAATGGCTTCAGTGGTTAGGAGCTCTGGGGTTCAGCACTCACATTGGGTGGCTCTCAGTCATCTGTAGTCCCAGCTCCAGGAGACCTGATACCCTCTTCTGACCCTTGTAGGTACACACACACACACACACACACACACACACACATAATCAATAAATGATAAAATAAATAAGTAAATCTTAAAAAAGAAGGTAAGAGTAACAGAGAGAGAAAGAGAGCAATTAACACCATTTTATATTTTTTAAATTATTCTTCATAATCTTTTGCTCAGCTTTGTGTATAGGATCAGATTGTATTGTTGAGTAGAACAGTATTTAGGAAAGCTTTGAGATTCAATAGCTGCAGTTAGCTATTGAGAACGAATCTACAAACACTCCCTTCTCTTATTAGTTAAGTTTGTAATTCTTTACCCAGTTTCTGTGTAATGTGCAGGTATTAGTTGGCTCTAAGGATCCTGAAAATAACTCAGCAAGCATTATGTAGGATTTTCCCCTGAGATTTTGTATTATTTCTAAGGCCCAGTCTGGGCGAGTGGACTCTTACATCCTCTCGTTTTGACAGGGAATGGTAAGCACTGATTTTAGATAGTCTTAGGACTGGGAAAGCGCCCTTTCATCATCTTGCTCTCTCGGGAGAAATGACTGGGAGAAAGACCTAGCCTAAGAAGTCACTAGTGGGTGGGTACAAAGACAGAGGGCTAAGGTAGACCAGTAGATTGTTTAGTGAAACTTTGGAATTGTATAAAACATTTGAGGAAATTATATTTCATGTAGACATTTATTAACACCTGAATTCCTGTGAAAATTCCTTGATATGGACTATTTCATCTTTTAGGCTCTTTGAGCTAAATAATGGTACAGGCAAGCTGAAGATTAAATCATTTTTCATATTGTACTTTTCTGTAATATGAAAGTATTTTCAGAAGCCCTCTCCTTCTTCCCTCTCTCCAGCCCGCTTCCCACTCTCTACCTCCTTATCTACCTGCATTTCTTTTTCTTTCATTTACTTCCATTTCTTCCACAGTCTATCACAAATAAGGGAGGGGGTCCAGAGTTCCCAAAATCCCTCCTGTTTAACTGCATTTTGAAGCTTTCCATGTGGTTTACAGAAGCCACACCCATTGACGTTCGTGAGAATAACCACATCCCCAGATCTCTTGCTTCCATCCGTGTCCCAAATCCCTCTGATCCTATGATTCAAAGCAATTACAAAAAAAAAAAGTCTCCAGTTTTAATGTTTGTGAGTGCACTGGGAGCTCATCAAACTACCTTTCTGGGACCTCACACTCAGACATTCCAGTAGAGCAAGGATAGGCGGGACCTGACGTTCAGTGCTGCAAACACATTTCCAATTCACACCAAGGCCAATCTTTTATAAAGGTCCTATAACAAAACTACCTCTCTGTCTTTTGCAGAAGCAAATCCAGAGAAATTCAATAGTCGTTTTCGAAATAAAATGTTCTATGCAGGGGTAAGTATATTTCTCATTTTATAATTATTAATATTATTTAATGCCAATTCACTGAATACTAAAGAAACTAACCGCATCAAAATTAGCAATGCAAGACACTTCCATCTACGTTTGTGTACAGTTATTCTTAAAACCTTCACCAAGGAATGAAAGCAAGGGAATATTTGTTAAATGAATGGCCGGCAAAGAGGTTGGTGTTGACTGTGATTGAATTTTTGGCCTCTGGGGTGCACAAAAGTCAATGACTTTTAGAGAGCAATATGTAACAGATATCAATGAAGGAACTGAAAAAAATAGATGGGAAAAACATATAGTGTTTTAGTTTGCTTTCTATTTTGTGATAAAATATCCTGGCAATTTAAAGGAGAAAGTGTTCATTTGACTAACATTTTTAGATTACATCAGTCACTGGTGAAAGTCAAGGTGGCAGGAAGTTGAAGCAGCTGGTCACCACACATTCACCATCAAGAGCAGGGAGCAGGGAACGAGTGCGTACATGATCCTGCTCATGCTGATTCTCCACCTTTACAATCCGGGACTCCCTGCCCAGGGAAAGGTGCCACCCACAACAAGCCTGCCTTCCCACTAATCAAGATACCACCCACAGACATGAGGGCAAGGCCAACTTAATCTAGACAGTCCCACACTGAAACTCCTCACCCGGGTGGCTGTAGACTGTGTTAAGTCGACAGCTAATCCCATCCGTCACAGACAGTCTTAACTGAGGATATAATCTCCAGCAGGCTGTGTACCCAGTGACCTTGGTTGAGAAATAGGCAGAGCATGGAGCTTGCTGTGAGAACACATAGGAGGCCTGGGTGGGGAGAGGGGGACTTGACTCTTCACTCTTCAGGGACAGTCCTAGGAGTGGGTAGAGGTGAAAACAGGAGACACAGAATGTGACAATAACATACAACTTAAATGGATAGCACTGGGTAGGAGTTAAAATATGAGGGGCAGTGGACAGCATTCCTGGGGGAAGTTAAAGGTGATCTTAGCATTGGATTCCCAACAACTCTGGGAACCACCCACTTTTTCAATCGTCTCCTATAATCTTAAATTTTATTGTAGCTTATAGTCTGAAAACAAAGACGATTTCCACAGACATTGTCCTATTTTACCTTGGGTTCAACCAAAGGAAAATTTGTTGTATGTTTTTTTCAAAGTGTGGAATCTTGGGAAACTGTCTTATCATGTTGAAGCAAGGATTTGGTGGAAACCATGTAACAAAAAATTCTTTTCTCCCTCATGGTATAGGCAGCCTTTTCTGATTTCCTACAGAGAAGTTCTAGGGACTTATCCAAACACGTCAAAGTTGTCGTGAGTATTGACTGTATGGGTTCCTTTAATTGCATGTGAATATGGATTTCATGCCCTGCCCCATGTCAGTTGATGTGTGTATTAACCCCTGGGCTGCTTATAGTTTGCGGATCATGTAAAGGAGCTCGTTAGACCGTGTTTATGAATTCTCACCATGTGTCAGTCTCCGTCTTAGCTCCTGGCATGAAATAAAGACCAAGTCTGACTCCCGAGGAAATCATGGAGAAGGGTGATAATCACTGTAGACACATAGACCATTACTCAATCGTACATGTAGAAATAATCACTACAGGCACATAGAACCACTATTCAATCATACATGCACAACAGTGGTAGCACAGGAGTGGTAATCCCATTCAGGATAGGATACGGAAGATCTTCCTGGACGAAATGCCATGAGCTGTCTTTTCTAGTATAAACAAATATTTAGCCAACAATTGTTCCAGATCTTTCTGAGGAGTCTTCATTATAGAACAAGCACCTACTTTATCCTGGCTTTGCACTCAAAGTCAAGGCTCCTCGCCCTGGGTGGATGCTTCCTGTTACTTCTTCTTTCAGTTTCAAACCCAGGCTATGTCTCCACTGGAGGCAAAAGAGAGATGAAATTCTCTTTGTATAGGTGGTACAGTCTAATATATCATAAAGATTAGTTAAGAAAAAATAAAAAGTTTCTTGTAATAACTGAGATTATGAAGAAATGAATATAGCTTTAATTTGCATAGTTGTAAGAATTAATCAAAATGAGGCTGAATGATCAAATAAATACATCTATGGAGAAACATGGCAGTGCCTTCACCCATCATGCAGCAGGTAAGGAAATGTAGAAACAACATATGTGTGATGTGTGTGGCCTGCATGTGTATGTGTACATATATGTAAAAAAAGACAAAACACAGAAAATACATAATACTAGGTTATGGAGATTTAGGGAAATGATAGAGGAGGATGAGGCAGTTAAAATTAAATCAGTCTTTAACATTTAAGAGGTAGTCCTGTTCATGAGATCCACATTTATGTTTACAAAATGAAATATACCTGCTTCTAGATGGTTCTTCGTAGTTTGTTGAGAGAGTGCCTCTGGTAGCCCATTCTATCCTTGAACTTGCTATTTAGCCAAAATGGCCTTGAGTTTCTGATCTGTGTTTCTTTACTTCCCACGCACTGAGATTACAGGCATGTACTGCCAAGTCCAGCAAAGTGTTTTAAAAAAACATGCTAGCTATATTAAATAAATTACTTCGATATTAAACAATAAAGGGAAATGATTGTTGAAAATGAAACAACTAAGGATTGTAATAGAATGGTATTTCCTGGGGCACTGATAATGTTTCCAATGTTAATAAACTACTATATACAGTGCTAACGTAGTAGGAATGACTAACTCATTCTTGCAGGATGCAAGATTCATTTAAAAAATGCTAGGCTGAGCACAGTGGCTTCTGTCAGTTGCCCCAACTATTTGGAAGGCTGAGCTGGAAGGAATGGAAATTCAAGGCCAGCAGCCACCCTGCATAGCTTGGTGAAAACCTACCTCAAAAAGAGAGGGTAAAAGTGTGTGTGTGTGTGTGGGGGGAAGTATAGAAATCTGATAGGCAAACATTCGCAAAGCTGCTCTTGCTGCTTTATCAGCATTAATATGTATCTGGCTATGAATCCCTTGCTATTTTTTTTTACTAGAGTTTCTATGTCTTTTCTTTGTAACCATATGAGTACTCAGAACATTATATGATTTCAATCGCTTATCATAACATAAAGTCTATAATCTATAGCAGAATATGCATGGAAGATGAAGCCCTGAGATCCATTGAGACAAGGGTTAACTATTGCTGGTATTAGATAACTGTATCATCCCTTCAGGGAATTTCAGCTCCTGGACAAAGCAGTCTTGTTTCTGGCCCTGGGGTGAGGCACAGCCTCATGGTGGAAAGAGAGCAGAGGGAGAGGAGCAGAGCTGTCATGGTGGGAGGGATGAGGGGAAGAGAGCTGTCATGATGAAAGGGATGAGGGGAGGAGAGATGCTCATGGTGGGAGGGATGAGGGGGGCAGAGCTGTCTTGGTGGGAGGGATGAGGGGAAGAGAGATTCTCTTGATGGGAGGGATGAGGGGAGCACAGCTGTCATGATGAAAGGGATGAGGGGAGGAGAGATGCTCATGGTGGGAGGGATGAGGGGGGCAGAGCTCTTCACTTCATGGTGACCGAGAACAGAGGGTGGGAAGAAGGAAAGGAAAAGGGAAGAAGAAGAAGAAGAAGAAGAAGAAGAAGAAGAGGAAGAGGAAGAGGAAGAGGAAGAGGAAGAGGAAGAGGAAGAGGAAGAGGAAGAGGAAGAGGAAGAGGGAGAGGGAGAGGGAGAGGGAGAGGGANGAAGAGGAAGAGGAAGAGGAAGAGGAAGAGGAAGAGGAAGAGGAAGAGGAAGAGGAAGAGGGAGAGGGAGAGGGAGAGGGAGAGGGAGAGGGAGAGGGAGAGGGAGAGGGAGAGGGAGAGGGAGAGGGAGAAGAAGCTGACTGATGACTGACGGACCAGGACAATATGAACGCATCAAGGCAAACCCTGAGTGAACGTCTTCCAAGTAGGCCCTACCTCCTAACATCTCATTCAGTGTGAACTCAGCACCACAATAGCATGCTCACCATCCAGTCACACCTCAGTGCTGCCACCAGCTTGAGCCCAAGCTTTAACATATGAGCCTTTTTGAGGCACACTTCACAGCCTAACTGTATCAGCTGTATATAAAACAGACCAGCTTATCTTTGTCACAGGTGAAGTCAGTATCTTGGATGTAATATAGAAGACACATAGTTATAAAGTGTGTGTGTGTGTGTGAATTCTAGACCAAGAGAGCACAAAGTACTAAGAAAACATTACATATCACACTATTTACTGATCGCTGTTTGGTTTTTCAACCCATGGGAATCATATTTTGCAAGCAGATATTTTCTCTTCTGTGTGTTTGAATTAGGGAAAACACTGATTTCTGATCTTCTAGAGAACTGTACATTTTCATGCATTCATATGTAAAAATAGTAAAATAATATACATTGTATGGTATGCATCTTTAAATAATTTGATGAGCTCCTGTAATCACTGACATATTTCCTAGGAAGAAAGGCTAGAACATTTAAAAATGAGTTGGGGTCCTAGTTTAGTGGTGTTTACTATAGTATATTTTTCTGTAATGCACATAGCAACAGATTATATTATCCTATATTTTGAATGTAAGTTTTTTGTTGTTTACACTCTTGAACTTTAATCACTTAATAAAATTACTTCATGGCCATAGTCAACTGTGGATCGGCTTGAAGCCCTTAAATGAGTTGGAGGATTTTGGTTATTGGGAGTACTCTAAACATCTTTGATCACTACGAGAACTTGATTTCTTTCTAAATTACTTTTGGAAATATTTGATTTAAGGCTATATGATTTCCTGGAAATTATTTTTGAGCCCACTTGTGAAAATTGGGGTGTATTCAGATCAGGTGGGAAAAGAATGTGGTGCTTGGAAGCAACCTTGACTGCTTGCAAAATCATTATGCTTAGTCTCAAATTCTGCTGAAAGAAATCTTTATAAAACTGTGGTGAGCTTTGGAATTCTCTATTTCTCCTTCCAAAAGAGAACAAACCCATGGGATTCTGGGATGCGGGGTTGAACCGGGAGAGAGTAAGCTGAAAAGGCGGCTTTCCACCATGGCACCGTGTCCTTGACTCTGATTAGTCTTCTAGACTTTATCACTGTGGAGATGGAGAGGGAAATGGAGACTGTTTTGTGACTGGTTAGAGGGCAGAACTCATGGGGAAGGCACCAGGTGATGAAGGAAGATGTGGGCAAGGCTACTTGGGGGGAAGTGATCAGGGGTTCCTAGAGACCAAGGTCACGTCCAAACGCTAGCAGTTTAATCTCAGAAGTGCCGCCCAGTTCTGTGAGAGATTAGATTTGTGAGAGCAAATCACTAGACACCGTTGTGTCTTCTTGCCCAGTGTTTATGCTCACACTCACTTCTGAACAGGAGTTTATGAACTCTGACATCTGGGACACTGGCGTTCACACTCACTTCTGAACAGGAGTTTATGAACTCTGACATCTGGGACACTGGCTTTACCCTGTAGCAAACAGCAGGGGACCTGGGAGAGGTGATACGCATTCAGAGCAGACTCCTTGAAAACTTTCAGATAATGGATTCAAGACATGTTTCCCAGTTTCAAAATAGACATTATCTCAGGCAGGAAAGCAAGCCAACGGCCACGTTCATGCTGTGTGGGTCGATGGATGACAGTGGGGATTGCTGCTGGCTCCACTCGAGACTTCAGCTTTGAAGTGGTGTAGTCTTTAAATGTTAGCACTGTCTGTTTAAATGTCTAATAATAGTTCAAGGTAATGGATGACAGTATCTGAATATTGGAACAGCGAAAAACTGTTTGGATCAAATGGGAGTTTTATTTTATATGAAATCAGATCAAAACCAGAGTTAAAGCCCTGATTCGAGTAGAGTTAGACTCAGCGTAAAGTTCAATGATAGTAGCCGGCACTCACTGGGGACAAGGGCAAGAATTCCATGCTTTATACTGTTGTCAACCCAGTTATCTTGGATGAGGCTCTCAGACTCATGCCAACCTCAGAAGTCCTGTTTTCTCTGCTTTGGTTGCTGCAGTGCGATGGGACAGATCTCACCCCAAAGATCCAGGACCTGAAGTTCCAGTGTATAGTATTTTTAAATATTCCCAGGTAAGCTCTGTTTATACCGTTGCCTTTGTTTGATGCCTCCGTCTGACTTGGGGCATCTGATTTCATAAGTGAAGCACCCCAGGCAGAGGCCATGAAACCCTCTGTTTTAATGTCTTGTCCGAGGTTCCATGTCTGCTAATTGTCTTCCCTTCCTTGGCTTGCTCCCTGTGGTAGGTGGTTCCTGCCCAGGATTGTAGAATTCATTACCTTTATTCTCCTAGTCTTCGGAGACTCAGGCCCTTTTCTCGGACATTTTCATTTAATCCTAATTACTGCCCCACACCCACCTGGCAGCCTCCAGGAAGACAGGAAGATAGAACCCTGCTTTCAGTTTTTCAAAAGCTCTTAGGAACACATCCAGCCTGATGAGTATGGATTTCTCTGCCGGATGCTGGACTCCACCAGAGAGGCATGTTATAGACGGGATTTAAATGCTCTTTGGAACTGTTGTGCACCAGGAGAAAGAAACACTTAGGATCGACTGTTTTTAAAATAAGCATATTATTTCATTGACCTAAAATTCGATGCTAGGTTCTCAAGCCAAAATGCCTATAACCCCTCATTATTTGCTACCATCCAACTCAGACAGCAATCTTCAAATAAGCTGACCTTTGCTGAATTTGCTGAGGGAAAATGAGAGATCTATAGAAATCTATGTCTAGGGAAACCCACGAAGGCCTCCGGGTTACTCCTGGCATGCTCAGGGCACTCAGTTCCAACCTCTGTCAGGAGCATGGGTCGGCATGTGTTTAGTAGAAGGCTTATGGATTTGGAGGAATGCCAGCTGGTGATGCCTCCTGTCGTATTTTCCTCTTCACTCTGCTTCTCCGATTTTATCATTTTGCTTACTCTTCCCTTCCTCACCTCACCCCTCTAGTCTTCCATTCCTACTTCCCTCCTTTTTTTTTTTTTTGCGAGACGATCTCTCCATACAATTCGCAATCCTTCGACCTTAGCCTCTTGAGTACTGTAACAGCAGGCATGCACCACCATGCCTAGCATCTTTTATTTCTTATCTTTTATTTACTTATTTAATTGTCATTTATTCTTTTCCTGTCAGAATTTCTTGCCTTGATTTTATATGCAGTGGTAAATGCTACCACCTTAGTTCATGTTCTTTTTTACATTTGCATGAAGTTGTCTTCATTTAAGAGTTACTAAATGATGGAGGATAACTCATCACATAGAAAACATGAACCCTGGAGTGAGAAATGCTGGCAAATGATGACAGACAGGAAAGATGGGTACCACAGGATGGTTTTGTTGTAAAATTGTGGCTTGTTTTTTGCAAAGTTATATTGTTTTGGAGATAAGTCTATATTTTCACACTTGAAAGTATGCATCAAGAACAACAAGCTGTTATATTTAATAATCACAAATTATTAGAAATGATTTTTTAAAGTTTGTTTATAAACTGACACACAGAATTATAAACCCCCCGTGTAGTCATGAGCATATGTGCGAGACCTTGGTGCATGTGTTTTTAACCCTAAGTTAATTCCCAGAGATAATTAGAAGAGTGAGGTCGCCTTAACTGATTCTGACCTGGTTTGCAGATATTGTGCTGGCACAATGCCTTGGGGAAACCCTGGAGATCACCACGACTTTGAACCCCAGCGTCACGATGATGGCTACATTGAAGTTATCGGATTCACCATGGCCTCTTTGGTGAGCAATATCTCAATTTTATTAAAAACCCTTGTGTGTAAGGCACACATAATTTTAACTGCTCACAAACAAAAACTTAGTTTTCTCCCAACAGAGTCTTGCTGGGTGTACAAAGCACACTCATTGGCAGGCCGCATGCCCAGCAGTTGCTAGCCAACACAAAACCAACTCAGTAGTACTTTTGGAGGGTTTTTGTCTCACAATGCTTTATCTAAGCATTTTTTTTAACATCACAGGTCTTTTGTTGCACATTTTGTTTTTGGTTTTGTGTTTTTATGGGATTCCTGTATGTGCAAATGTGTGTGTCTCTGCATCTGTATTTGTTTCTTGTGCTTTCCTTTGGATTTTTTTCTGTTTGCTTTGTGGTATTCTTTTTATGTTATTTTATTTAATTTTTAGATGTATGTTTGTTTTATAATGAGAGAGAGAAAGGGTATGGATGTGGGTGGGCAGGGAGGATCTGGGAAGAGTCGAATGTAGGAGAAACTGATCAGAATATATTGTTTAAAAAAACTATTTTCAAATAACAAAGTTTTTTTTTTTCCTCTTGGTTTACCAACTTATAAACTCTACACAGTACAGAAATGCTTAGGAAAAACATGAATGGTATCATTTAAGTCTGAAAACCTATTCGTAATCATCTGAACTTCAACGATAAATCGGTTTGATTCTGGTTTACTTTCTAGGAAATAAGACATTCCGTGCTTATGAAGCCATCAAGGTGCAGAGGTAGTGCAGCTTTAATACAAACCACAGCACCTGACTGATACTTTTCCTGCCTTACTGAAGAAATAAATATTTAACTTAAAAACTAGTTATTTACATCCAGTTTTATCTTGTTTACCGAGCATGAGATGACTGTACGGTTTATTACAAAATATTATAGACGGGAAAGATACCATTATAATCATCTTAGTACTGTTCAGTTGCTACAGAATACACATTACTTCGTACTTTAATGTTGTATATTTGTATTTAAAACTGGATTTATAGTGTAAGTTCATTCAAACAGTTCAACCTATTCAACTAAGGTTGACCAATTAGGAATTATAAAAATGACTTATTTTGTGTTGCATTATATAAGTTATCATATAAACTCAAAGTTTGTACAACAAATCAAAGTAAAACTTCCACTTGTAACTTGGGGATAGCACTGGGTGTGTGCCAGCCCCTATCCACAAAAGGTGAGATGGTTGTATTTCTACTTTAATAAACAAAAGCACAGCCATCTTCACTTCTTTTCCCATTGCTGCAAGGAAACACCCTGAACAGAAGGAACTCTGGAGAAAGTGTTTTAGCACACAGTTCAAGGGTAAAGTCCGTCATGGCAAAGAAGCAGAGACAACAGAAGCTCGAAGCTGTGGTCACAGTGCATCCAATGAGGAAGCAGAGAGCAGTAAATGTAGGCTGCTCTTCAGCCCCTTCTCTACTTACTGCTGTTCAGCATCCCAGCCGGGGAACAGTGCCACGGTTGTAGGTGGGTCTTCCTGACTCAATAATTGCATCCCACAGGGATGCCCAGAAATCTGCCTCTCAGGTGACTATAGATTATCAAATTAACAATTGCCATAGATCTCTCCCATGCTCCCCCAAACAGTCCATCTATGTTTTTTCTCTCTCACTTATACCTTAATCCAGAGGGAGTTGGTTGAGTCCTTGTCATATACCACAGCTTCATCATGCTACCTGCAAGGTAGAAGGGACCAGGAGTTGTCTGGGTGATGATGATCTTTTACAAGGGCCTGAATGGCCAAAGGGAATGTTCCATACTTTCTCTCTGTGCTCAAGATCAAGGTTTATACCCTTAGCTGGTATATTAGCTACTTTTCTGTTGCTGTATTAAACTACCATGACCAAAAACAACTTGAGGAAGAAAGGTTTTTTTTTTTTTTTTTTTTTTTTAAGAAAGGAATTATTTTAGCTAATCGTTCCTCGGTGATAGAGTCTTTCATGGCAGGGAAGGGACAGCATGACGGCAGGACCAGGAAGCTGGCTGATAACATTTGATACAGGGAACAGGAGGCAGTGTACAGTGTGCAGTGGGCAATGTTCAGTGGGCAGTGACTCCAACCTGTATGCATCAAAGCACAGCATGCTTCCCCTTGTCTGAATAAGTGGGATTCCGCACTGTGGGAAAAGGGAAATTTATGAACATGTGAAGACACAAGCAGCCACAGTCCTTGGTGGGGAAGTGGTTTCATGGTGCATAAAGGTCGATGAGCAGTTGAAGAAGGAAAGGGCCAGGACATGGGATGCCCTGGAGAAATGACCTGGGCTTTTCATTTTATTCAGTGTCTCTGAGGACTTATTCGAATGTTTTATGTATGTATTTATTTATTTTTAAACTGTGTTTTTGTGTGTGTGTGTTTGTGTGTGTGTATGTGTGTTCATTTGTGTGGGTTCACGTTTGTACATGACTGTGTGGAGTACAGAAGCTGACTTTGGATGCCTTCCTCAGTTTCTCTCCACTTTGTTTCCTGAGGCAAAGTGTCTTGCTGAACCTTGAGCTTCTAGACTTGGCTATTCTAGACAATCAGCTTGTTTTGAGGAGGCCCTGTCTCCTGACAGTGGATCACCAATAGGTTACTGCACCTCTCCAGCACATAATGTGGATGCTGGGATCTGATCTCTGGTCTTTGTGCTTGCATGGCAAGCTCTCTATCCACATGGCCATCTACCAGCTGCTCAGATGTTCTTTAAATAAATATTTTAATGAGTATTTTAAGTTTGAAGTAGACAAAATAGGCAGTAGAGAGATGCCTCAGAGGTTGCTCTTATAGAGGACCCAAGATCTGTTCTGAGCACCTACATAAATTCCAGCTCCAGGAGGATCTGACACTTCTTACCTCTGTGGGTACCTGCACCCATGTGCCCATACCCCTACATAGACACACAGGCATAAATATAAGAAAAATAAACTGGAAAGCAGGAAAAATAATAGGGCAAAGCCCCAACTCTCACAACACCCAGCCTTTGGAATGACTACTCATATACAGAGTTAACTAGTTCTAAGTTGATAACTAGTTCAACTAGTTCTAAGTTTAAATGAATCCCACAGTATGTTGTTTAACCCACAGATATCTCAGAGGGATTTTGGACAATGTGCTTTCTTTAATAAATGAAAAGCACAGTAATATTTTATGAAAATCAGTATATCCAGGCAGGACCAACTGTCTGCCTGGGCGAGCCTTCACTGGGCTCCTAAGAAGCATTTGCTTTCTTATGACCAGTTGACAGTTTACCAAGTCTATACAGATTCATTCTCTCTTTTTTTTTTTTAAATTAAAGATTTCTGCCTCCTCCCCGCCACCGCCTCCCATTTCCCCCCTCCCCCAATCAAGTCCCCCTCCCTTGTCAGCCCAAAGAGCAATCAAGTTTCCCTGCCCTGTGGGAAGTCCAAGGACCACCCACCTCCATTCAGGTCTAGTAAGGTGAGCATCCAAACTGCTTAGGCTCCCACAAAGCCAGTTCGTGCAGTAGGATCAAAAACCCATTGCCATTGTTCTTGAGTTCTCAGTAGTCCTCATTGTCCACTATGTTCAGCGAGTCCGGTTTTATCCCAGGCTTTAAAGGGACCAGAGGAAACAAAAGGACATCTCAGTGATGCTTCAGGAAATTCAAACTCAGCAATGTCACAAAACACCGGCCTGGTTTAATCTGGAGTAAGACTTAAGAATGAATCTGTATCCATCTTTATTTCATATGCATGTCCTTATAAAATGGCATTGTTAAGCACTCCTAGTCCAAATGTCCAAAGTCTTGAATATTTTTCATTGACTGAATTTGGACATTTCAAAGTCTGAATGTAGTTCATTTCAAATAAAACCTTTGATTTCAGACCGTTTTGGATTTTCATACCAGGGCTGCTTCACTGCTGAAGTCTGCATAATATTCCAAAATCCAAAATAAGAAAAAGAAATACCTCTGAAACTCAAAACATTTCTGACCCAAACATTTTGGATAAGAAAAATTCAGCCCGGATTTGGGTCTATGAACTCAACAAATAGTAGGTATTTACTCCAAATCTGCTTTGTAAGCCATATTTTTCTTCTAGATAGGAGTGGATAGACTGTTGCTCAGTTGTTTTTGTTTTTGTTTTGTTTTTTTTTTTTTTGTAACATTAGTGGATACTGATGCTTATTGACTGGATCCAGCAATAACTGGACCACGTTACACATATTAGTGAATTAACAAGCGCCACATATAAGTGACATGCTACTAAGTAAAACTGCTTCACGGGTGAGGCAAAAGAAAAGCCCACTTTTGGGGTGTATCACAGCTCTGGGGTGGAGGAAAGATGGAGAATAAAGTGATAACTTCTGGGACAGAGCTGGGAGGTGCCAGGAAGAAGAGCCTCTTAGGGGGTGCTCTCAGAGGAGCAGAGTCTCTAGAATGCAGTGGCCCCTCAGGGCAACCAGCCCGAGAGCACATGCACTTGGAGAGCTGCAAGTGGTGGCTTCAGAGATCGCAGTTAATAAAGCTGCAGTCAAGGGGAGGAGCAGGAAAAAGCAAACAGTCCTTCAAGCTGTTGATGGGGGTGTTGATGGGGGTGCTGTGGCGAAGGGTCGGGCGTGATCAGACCTGTGCCTGGAAGCTGACGTGAATGAACGAAATGTCGGCCTCTGGGGCTTAATAGACAAATGGTCATATTGGCTTCAGTGTCCGAGTGAAAAGATGAGAATACCAGAAGGGTGGAGTAAGAAGGTTCCACAAAGGTGAATGGGACTGGGGAGTCCCAGAATTATTTGGCCGTAGTGACCCACTGCAAAAGGGAGAAGAGCATTAATGAATCCTAGGAGATTACTGTGGGCAATTAGTCAAGGAATGATTGCATTAAATAAGGTGGATATTGTGAAACAGCATTGCAAAAAGAACAGAGCTCTGAAATCCCCATAAGAAGGCAATAAGCCATCTTCAATACATGCTTATAATTTTACATAATTTTACCTTCCTGGAAATACAATCAGTAGGATAGCATCAATGGATGGAAAACTGAAGGA